ATGTTACCATCTAGCGAATCTAGTCATTTGGAAAAGGATTCATTTTCCAAAAAACAAAAACGCAACGGATACCTCAACTACCTCTCGTCGCTTGGGGATGGTTGATTTCTATGTTTTTTCTGCACCTGTTTTCGATAGCTTAGCTAGCATTAATCATTATACAAACCTCATCGCCAATTTTGAAAATGGTTGATACCCATGGGGTTTATAGTGATTTAATGGGTTTTATAGTGATTCAATGGGATATTAATGGGATATACCCTATGGTAATGACTAACAGTTTGCTATTGAAGCCATGGCCATAGAAATAGTTGATTTACCCAGCTATAAAATACTATGTAAACGTTTACCAGAGGGTAGTTATTATGATCCATTATCATTATCACAATAGTTATAGAATATAACTTATATTCTATGTGAATAGAATGAGGATATACTTGTTGGTGAAATGATATGATGATTAATGAACCATTATCATTATCATAATTATCAATAATTATTAACCACTACTATCTACTGTATGTAACTAATATTAGCATGAGTTCTGTGTAATTAATTATCATTAGCATAGACAATTGCAATAATTACCATCCATCATTATCCTTCTCAACCATAATCATTGACCATACTCATGAACTATTTATGGCTTAACTACATTTAGTCTAACCACTGTTGTCATCAATCAAAATTATTAACCGTAATCATTAACATTAATTCGGTGTTGATAAGTAGTTAATAATGAAGTTCTTTAACCATTAACTGCATTAACCATAACCATAATCAATAACCATAATCATGAACCAAAATCATTAATCATAATCATTAACCATGATCATTTACCACAATCACTAATCACAATCATTAACAATGATTATTTATCATAATCATTAACAAGAACCATTATTGTTAATCATTGGCCATTATAAGTTCTGTATGCCTTACCACCCAAAGCCGAAAATGAACACTGAACCGTCGGCTCACTACTAAGTGGAACTCGCGCCTCTTGTCCAAGGTTTTGAAGAGCCATAACCTGCAGGGGCTCTGTAATGTTGGTTGAATGAAGTAGTTTACCTATGGTTAACCGTTGGGTCTTTGCTAGTTACAGTTATGGCCATTTATTAGTTACAGTAGAACTGGTTAATCGGATTATTTCTATGGGATTATACAATATTATACATTCCATAAATGGGTGACTTGTTAGTACGTATAACTGGTATAACTCGGGCCATCAGCCTGTAGAATATGCAACAGGTTTTGACCGAGTTTTTGACGCTCAAACGCTCAAAACTAAAACGCAACTTCGTTGACAAGTCCCAACGTGCTGAATTCGACATAGGGAATACTCCGGAGGAATGGGATGAGGGGAATGAGATGGGAATGGGATGAATATAGTTATGCAATGTTTTGCATGGATCATTTCCCCATGAACCCTGCGTTTTAGCACCAGGAAGTTGAACTGTTGGTGAAACCTGTTGGTTCTGTGGTAGTTGCATGAAATCTGTTGGTTCGCAATGATGAAACATGGAGAAACCTCAGCCATCCCTACTTGGTGGCTCATCCCACGGCTCGCAAGTGGGTTATAACCCCAGTTATAAGTGGATTAACCCTACTTATCCCATGTAGATCACTGGGGTTATAACCCACTTACGAAATTTTCTACGTGATCATCTACAAAAGGATGATCCGACGATTGAGGCCTTGCAGGGGAAATCAAGCACCAAAGCCGATTGGGGCTTACAGTAAGTATCAAATCCCGATTGGGGGATACTACAGCATAGTCTATATTGAAACAACATAGTCACGAAAAATAAGAGTAACGTAATAGCAAGAAAAAATAAAGAAATGACGACTTTATACCTTCTCAATGGAGTTTATTAATAAAAAGAAAACCGTACAGCAAATCAACTGCTCTAAATGACAAAAAAATCAACTATGGATAGATCCCCAAATCCTGGAAATCATGAAAATGTTGTTTTTTTGCAATCATGGTCTCATCCTGATTAGCGAATGATCCCATTGTTCCTGTGAAACGCTGTACATGTCGTACCTTCAATTTGACTCTAAACTCATTCCATCTATAGACGGTTTTCCTATGAATAAAAGGTGAAGCCGGTGATTTTGGTGTATAACCGAGCTCTTGAGCTTCCAGCCCCTCCATTGCTGAAACAAATTCATCAATCAGATAAAATGCTCTGGCGTCTTCTGACGCCATCGCACTTTTGGAGGCTCTTTCTCAACTAGATTGCCCATCAGGGTCTTGCCGTATCGGCTACCCTCCAGACGCTATTGATGCTCAGCTTGCTCACCATCGTTGGACCAGGTCGTTTTTCTCCAAGGAGGCCACATAACTCCAATTTCATTTAGGCTTTATGGTATATCGAAGTACCAAGGTTTACAAACTTATAGCTGGGACACCACCTTCAAGATCTGCATTTCAAGAATGTAAGGAGTCCTTCTTGCTGTGGCTCTGGAAAACTCTGAACATCTCAAAATTTGGATCGGAGGGACAAAAACACTGAAATCCTCTGGTTCATCATCATTTTCCCTATAAAGGAATGCAATTCTGGCGGTATACTCGATGTAAGTTATTCAAAAATAAAGTCCATACTTGGACGTGCATCCCAATGGTTCATTGCCAACCTTAGTTTCCAAAATCTTGGATATTCCTGGCGATTCCTCGTGATATTTCCCGGAACCATGATTATTGCTCAATTACGATTCCTTGGGCCTGCAGATCCAAGTAAAGTTTTGACCGTAGCACACATAACCAGCTACCATCCCGGGGAACATGAATTAATCACAAGTCCCAAATCTGACATAATCATACCCCATATGCTCCATGGTGCTGGAATATTTACCAACATTTGCCCTAAAAATGACCCAATTTTGTAGGTAAATATTCCAGCACCGTGGAGCATCTGGGTACTGAAACCCAAAAATTGCAGGGATTTTCCTCACAAACCATCATTTTTTCAGTGGGGTGGGCCAGTGACCTTGTGATTTACCAACATTTTACCAACCAGTCGGCTGGAAGGCTACAGAAAAAATGCCGGTAGGCCATAGTACCATTGTATTCCCATGACATTCGCAAGTCTCACCACCTCAAATATGGCACTATGAAGAACTTTTACCAACAAATATATCCTCATTCTATTCACATAGAATATAACTACCAGTAGTACCGCACAAGGCGGTGGCGGAAGTTTCAAAAATAGGAAACCTATAGGAGAGATTGGTTGTTGTGACTCAGGGATGGCAGAGCGAATCCACTGATGGACCGAAAGGTGCTTGAGGTCTCCTCTCTTTCTCTCTCCTTCTCTGACTATCTACCTACCTACCAACCTATCTATCTATCTATCTATCTATCTGTCTCTCTCTCTCTCTCTCTTTCTTTCACCTAATTACCTATCTATCTATCTATCTATCTGTCTGTCTGTCTGTCTATCTGTCTATCTGTCTATCTGTCTATCTGTCTATCTGTCTACCTGTCTAGCTGTCTACCTGTCTATCTGTGGTGCAGTGTCATTCAGTGTATTGTAGTGTAGTGTAATGTAATGTAGTGTAGTGGAGTGTAGTGGAATGTAGTGTAGTGTAATGTAGTAATTAGTGTAGTGTAGTGTAATTTCGTGTAGTGGAGTGTAGTTGTGTAGTCGTAGTTGTAGTTGTAGTGTAGTGGAGTGTAGTGTAGTGTAATGTAGTGAAGTGTAGTGGAAGGTAGTGTAGTGTAGTGGAGTGTAGTGTAGTGTAATGTAGTGTAGTGTAATTTAGTGTAGTGTAGTGGGGTGTAGTTGTGTAGTTGTGTAGTTGTGTAGCTGTAGTTGTAGCGTAGTGGAGTGTAGTGTAGTGCAATGTAGTGAAGTGTAGTGGAAGGTAGTGTAGTGTAATGTAGTGTAGTGTAGTGGAGTGTAGTATGTGTAGTGTAATGTAGTGTAGTGTAGTGTAATTTTAGTGTAGTGGATCTATCTATCTATCTATCTAGCTAGCTATCTATCTATCTGAACTTCCAAAAGTGGTCCGAACCCCTAGTGTTTTTAACATTTTGACTTCCAAATGTGCTTCGCGCCACAACGGCGTGCACTTTTTCCACATCGCAACTTCCAAAAGTGGTCCGAACCTGGTGTGTTTTGTACATTTTGACTTGGTAATGTGCTTCGCGCCACAACGGCGTGCACTTTTTCGACATCTCAACTTCCAAAAGTGGTCCGAACCTGGTGTGTTTTGTACATTTTGACTTGGAAATGGGCTTCGCGCCACAACGGCGTGCACTTTTTCGACATCTCAACTTCCAAAAGTGGTCCGAACCTGGTGTGCTTTGTACATTTTGACTTCGAAATGTGCTTCGCGCCACAACGGCGTGCACTTTTTCGACATCTCAACTTCCAAAAGTGGTCCGATGCTGAGGTGTTTTGTACATTTTGACTTCGAAATGTGCTTCGCGCCACAACGGCGTGCAATTTTTCATCACTCATCTGGCCAGCTGGCTCCGCACCCGCCGCTTTAGCGAGCCTACTTTTCGACCCTCCGGAGCCCCAAATCATTGGGAAAACACAGTGTTTCGCGACTTTCCTACCATTTCGCGCATCTGCATCTTCTTTCTTCTTATACTCTTTCTCTTCTACTCTTCTTTCTTCTAATCTTTCTCTTCTCTCTGCCTCTTCCCTGCTCTGCTTTTCATCTGTTCATATTGTCGGAAGTTTGACTTCTAAACTTCCTTCGATTATGATAATGATAATGGTTCATAATGATTAATACTAGCTAAAAACTATCTTGGGTGCAGTTCACATAGAATATAACTAGATCCTTATACTAAATGTGTATCTCCAATTGTATGAAACAAAAATTGTACCTAGACTCTCCAAATACCGGCCAAAAAGATAGCATTTGAACCCATAATCCATAGATTCTGATAGATTTGGTATTTCCATATGTTTCAATAGATTTTGTACTGGGAGGGTCTATCCCCATGTTTTTTTCACCCCTCAGGGTTCACCTTGGTTCCCCTACAAGCGCAAGCGTTCTCGAAGGCGCGTCAGCTTCGCCAAGGGCAAGAGCTCGCGCTCGATGTCACGCAGCCTGACTCCATGTCTTCAACGGGAATTTCAGGATCCTAAAATGGAGGTACGTTAGTACCATATTTTGGACCATATTTTCTAGTGATATTCCCTGAAATTTAGGCCTGAATTGTATAGGCCTTAAACATATTAATGGTACGTAGGTACCTCGGTACCATAAATCAGTACCTGTTGCGCCAGGCCATTGATGTCTGGTTGGGATTGCTGGCCGCCAGGTTTCTGGAGGATTTCCCCAGTGTGTGGGGGTGAAACCCTATGAATAATGGTGGTTTTATGGGAAATTCATAGGAAAACCATAGGAAAATGGTGGTTATACCCTCTGGTAAACATACAAAAAACTATGGAAAATCACCATGCTATTACTGGGTAAATCCACGAACTAAATCACCATTGTCAATAGCAAACTGTTAGTTTACCAGAGGGTATATTGTTTCTAGTTATTCATAACCTCAACTGCACACACCTTATTTTATGTGGTTGAAAATCTGAAGAGTTGATAAACAATGGGGAATTCACTTACAATTCATGGCAATTCTAATGGGAAAACAATGATGATAAATCTATGTTTTAATGTTTTAAGCCCATGGAACACATCGTGATTAACCAGGGAAATGGTGCGTAGTCAGTCACTTTACAATGTTCATTGGTTTCTCAGTCAAAAATATAGCAATTTTGCTGGGATACAATCAGATGGAGCCAAAAATACAATATAGCAGCGCAATTTGGCGATTCGTGCCACTAAATGAGAGCAATCTTAAAAGAGAACATGATGATCAACAAATTCCTACAGGACTCTCTCTCCCTCTTTCACCATTAAACAAACATATATATATTATATATGTATGTACGTATGTATGTATATGATGAAGGGATATATGATATATCTATATATATACTTAAAGGTTGGCTTCGCACATTTCGTCCAGACTGTCATCCCCATCATTTAAAGCTTATCTGATGCATTATACCCTGGTGGTTGAGCCAACCCCTCTGAAAAATGATGGAGTGAAAGTCAGTTGGGATGGATTGAAATTCCCAACCGAATGGCAAATTATAAAAATCATGTTCCAAACCACCAACCTGTAGCACGATTTTTGTTGGTTCTAGTTTCTTTTCTGCAATAAAACCTGCACGCCTGGGAACTTTGTATATAGAATATATGCGAAATCAGCATCTGGAATTGACACATACGTCAATTCATGTTTAAGCTCATATGATTCTCGGGGAGAGATGGATATTCCAGCAGCATGCTACCTGACATTTGCACAGGCAAAACTGGAGGATTTTGGTGGGTGAAATCTGTGGAGGTATGCCAGGTATGCCGTCAGCCTTGTGAAGGAGTCTCCAAGTTGTCCATCAAACGATAGCTCCAATCACCACGAACCCAACAATTTTATTTTTGATGGGCAACCATTTAGCATAATTTCATATAATTTCGCCTGAACTGGGGCACCAAACTTCACCATCTTTCATGATTAGGACCCGCCAGAACCGTAATTTCAACCAAGGAACTTGGAGGCTGCCTCCTGGTAGTTGGCCAACGGAAGCAAATGCTCCGGCGCCGGAAGCACTTGGATGAAGCGTTCACACCTGGGTCGTTATGAAATTACCATACAGTTATGGCCATCATAATTCCAAAAAAATCTGGTTATTTCTATATGGGATTTTACATAAACCCCATATGCTCCATGTATAGTACATTTACCTACAAAACTGGGTGATAAAAATGGGGTAAATGTTGGTAAATATTCCAGCACCATGGAGCATATGGGAACCATAAATGGGGTTATTGTCCTTATAACCGGTATTTCAAGGGCCAAAGGCGCCTGTACTTGTTGGGTGCATGTGGAGTCATGGAGTCTCAAGGGTCGCCTCCGGTGTCAAATGTTGGGAAATTTCCAAACGAAATGGAGGTTTTCGCTATATATAGAAAATGGTCCATATATAGTTGATTTACTTATGAAAATAGTGATTTTCCATGGCAACCTGTTAGCTTACCAGTAAACTAACACTTCGACCTTGCCAGATGTCGGGGTTGGAAGACTAGTTTCCACTATAAATTGGTCATTTTCAGGGCCTATGTTAATTTACCAGGGGGTAACTCAAAATATCTCAAGAATGGATGGACCATGTTGGAACCTCAGGTCACTTGAGACAGAACATGGGGAAAATGATGGACCGTCTTTCTACTATTGTCAGAATGATTGTATGCGCATCGCATAGGGAATTTCCAGTGCTATCGTTAATCACCGGAGTGGTGACCTCCTACTATTCACCCACATTCCACTTGAAATTCCGTGCCATCACTCGGAAATATCACCATCGCAGCACATATTTTTATTGGTTGTACATATATATACATATATATATAATATATATATATATATATACGTATTCAAATTTTATTAGTTTTGATATGTAAAAACATTTTATATAAATACAAATATATCAAAAACTATTCAAATATGTATATATATATATATTTATATACAGAAAATATGTTATATTATATTAAATTAAGTAAAGTATTTTATTAAATATCAAATTAAAATCGATATATATATATACATCTGTACATACTACATAGATAGAATACATATTTTACATATTACATATACTATCAATTTTATTTATCTATAGATATATATGAAAATAAAAGTAAATAATGTATATGTATATATATATACACAAAATAGTCTAAAAACATTACAAATAAAATCTTCTATTTCTATACATATATGATATTAAAGAATATATTATTGAATATGCATTATGTAAATTATATGTACACACAGAGATTCCCCGTATACCTCTTGTATATATACAAGCAATTCATTGATATACAAATATGTTCAACTATATATATATATGTAAATATATATATATAGACATGTAAATATGAGTGTGTATGTGTATATATAGAAATATAAATATATATACACACACACCGTAAATATGAGTATCACACACATAAATATGTATATATAAATATGGGTGAATATTCTATTGAATCCTTTAACATTCTAGCATAGCTACAGAAAATGTATGAGCATGGAACATCTGGAACATTAGTTCCATGATATACCTTTGAAAAATGGTGATATTCTGTGGGTACTCGGTGGCTCACCCCACTTTACTGAGTAGCTAACATGTCTGGCTGTCAATGGGATAAATAGGGTTGATCCACTCAACTACACCTGGGGTGAGCTAACCTAGTTACTAAGTGCTAAGTGGGATGAATTTCCACGTATTAACAACAAATAGCAGAACAAATAACCACTGCCGCAGCCTATATTTTGGGGCGTTTTTTGGAGGTAATTCTAAACGCTCTTTACTCTGTGGCTTCTAAAAATAATGGAACTCTACCTATGAAAGCACCTAAATATAATGTATATTCATTATCATGCAGTAATTACTTTACTTCGAGTTATCCCCACCATGACATCTATACGTTTGTTACTGGCAAATCATCTGGCATTCTATCTGGCATATCTTCTGGCATTCTACCTGGCATATCTTCTGCAATATGTTCTGGCACTCTATCTGGCATATCTTCTGGCATATCTTCTGACATTCTATCTGGCATTCTATCTGGCAAATCTTCTGGCATATGTTCTGGCAAACATTCTGGCACTGGCATACCTTCTGGCATTCTATCTCACTGACATTCTATCTGGCATACCTTCTGGCATTCTATCTGGCATATCTTCTGGCATTTTATCTGGCATTCTATCTGGCATATCTTCTGGCATTCTACCTGGCATATCTTCTGGCATATGTTCTGGCATATCTTCTGGCACTCTATCTGGCATATCTTCTGGCATATCTTCTGACATTCTATCTGGCATTCTATCTGGCAAATCTTCTGGCATATGTTCTGGCAAACATTCTGGCACTTTATCTGGCATACCTTCTGGCATTCTATCTCACTGACATTCTATCTGGCATACCTTCTGGCATTCTATCTTGCATATCTTCTGGCATTTTATCTGGCATTCTATCTGGCATATCTTCTGGAATTCTATCTGGCATAGCTTCTGGCATTCTATCTGGCATATCTCATGGCATTTTATCTGGCATATCATGGCATATCTTCTGGCATTCTATCTGGCATATCTTCTAATACTCTATCTGGCATATCTTCTGGCATTCTATCTGGCCGTTGAGGTCCAGCGGTGCACACTGAGCTGGGAAGGTCCCAGCTTGAGGTCCAACGGTGCACACTGAGCTGGGCAGGTCCCCGTTTGAGGTCCAGCGGTGCACACTGAGCTGGGAAGGTCCCAGGTTGAGGTCCAGTGCACACTGAGCTGGGAAGGTCCCAGGTTGAGGTCCAGCAGTGCACACTGAGCTGGGAAGGTGCCAGGTTGAGGTCCAGCAGTGCGCACTGAGCTGGGAAGGTCCCAGGTTGAGGTCTAGCGGTGCACACTGAGCTGGGAAGTTGGCAAAGAGCTTGGCGAAGAGAGTTGGCAAAGAGCTTGGCGAAGAGTTGGCAAGGCCGAAGTGGAGGTGGAAGTTGATGCAGACATGGTCGAGGAGAAACTAGAGGAGGAGGCGGAGGAGGACAGCTAGCCGAGTAGGAGAAGAGCAACTCTGATAAAATCTAACAACCCTCACCTGGCAGGTGGATCAGGTGGGGAAAAGCTAAATATTCCCCATGCTTTGCCATCCAAGGAACTCCTCCGCAGGCAGCGGGCAGTCGCCCGGTTGGAGCTGATCAAGAGACGCTGCCAAGCCTGGCCAAGCTTGCTATTACCTGCGAATTTCCATTGGGTTATATGATTTGTAATGGACACATATGGAGGTTTCCTAAAATACCCTAAAATGGGGGTACAGTGAAACCACTGTTTAAGAACCTACTGAAATAAGAACTTCAGGGGCTGGATTGCTCGATTCAACCCTTTCTGTCAGCTAATTGAAATAAGAACCCCAGGGCACCCTGGAATTCTAGCCGCTGGTTCTTATTCCCCTTGAACGGGCATCGACACACCAAACATTGATTATTGATTATGAAAGCAAGAAGGAAGCACGCAAGAAGCAAGCAAATCACCAGCGCCACACGGACTCGAAGTCGACTACGCCTAGCAAGGCTAAGCACGCCAGCCTGAGCCCGACACCGGCCAAACTCACTAGAGGCCATCTGACTTCAGATGCTGCCCTTGGCTTGTCTTTGGTTTGTCTTGGCTTGTCTTGCCTGTGCTGCCTTGTTTCGGGGCCCTAAATTAAAAAAGACTTTTCGGCGCCTGAAAAATGTTCTTCTTCCCCCCGCCTCCTTTGCAACCTAATACCACACAAATAAACTTTCAAGCCCTGGCATGGTGGAATATGGAATGCAGGCGCTGCACCTCAAAAAACTTTTCGGAACCAAAAAAAATACCCCCCGCCTCCTTTGCAACCTAATACCACGCCAAAATGAATTTGCACAACCCTCACCATATGAACCCCTCAAGAACTAACCCGTTAAGAACTTGAGGGTGCCCTCGTTCATAATTTCCATATTTTCCACCTATAGCACTTAAGAACCGCAGGGTAGGCTGGAAAATTCTTAATCGGTTCTTATCTAACGGTTCCGCTGTACCCCAATAGCTGGATGGTTTATGAGGGAAAATCCCATTAAAATGGATGATTTGGGGGTACCCCTATTTATATATATAGCTCTCGCCACAGTCTCGTGCAAATTTTTCCAACCTCATCTTCCACAAGTGCCTCGCAGCTGTCAATTTTTTAAACATTTTGGAGTGCAAATCGAGCTCTCGATACAGCCCTGTACACTTTCTGTCTACAACTTTCCCAGATCGAGGCCCGCACCCCCGGAAACAGGCACCCTACGTCGGTGACGCCGGAAGCCACATTACCCGAAAAAAACACAGAATTTTGCGCACAAGAGCGTTTTCACCCGTGAATTCACAGGCTCCCGAATTGTTACTCGCCTCTACTGCTCCCACTTGCAAACTGCTTTTGCTCACTATGTGGTTGACATGATGACAAGATTGCCCCTGGACATTCGTCCGTAACTCGAGAGTTTTCGAACTAAACTTCCTCTGACCCTGACGAAGCTCCTTATTCATTGGTTGGGGGACCCTTTCCTGTAGGAATAGAGGACATTATATGATGTATCAACCAGGTACTTAATCAAAAATAATTCAAGACCACATTTCTGACAGGGCGAATGCCCATCCAAGAGCTAGAATTGACACCTCTAGTTCCTTCTTATTCATGTTTGAAATTCCCGAAGGATATGTTATGTGTTTTTCCAAATGTGGATCCAGTCTATGGCATAGATTTTAAATTTTGAGGCTCACCTCAGCTTGTGGGTTATATCCCCAGTCATATAACATGACTGGACTAACCCTACCTATCCTATTCATCCCTATTCTCTAACAGGGCTTATAACAGTTACAAATGTTGTTACAAATGTTACAACCCACTTTAGCAAGTAGGATGATCTTCCAAGTAAGTCTTCTATTCGGGGGTTCGTCCCAATGTCTAAGCAATTGCGCTGAACACTTCCCTCCCGGGCACCCCGGTGATGTTTGTTGATCACCCAACCTCCAACATTTGTCGAACTACACGAAGTCCAATAAACCCAAGAAACCCGCCGAGAAGGAACTTCGCGATTCAATTTCTGCACCGAAATCCATCAATGTCTCAATTTCCATCTGGTTGGTGGTTTCAACCCCTCTGAAAAATATTAGTCAGTTGGGATGATTATTCCCAATATATGGAAAAATAAGAAATGTTCCAAACCACCAACCAGCCATCCATCCATCATTTCAACTGTTTGAGGACTAGACCGCCCGAATTTTCTGCTGCTTAGACCACTACTTCGTGGCGAACTACCCACGGCTCGTAAGTAGGTTACAACCCCAGTTATAAATGGGATAGGTAGGGTTAATCCACTTATAACTGGGGTGAACTAACCCACTTACGAGCCGTGGGATGAGCCACCAAGTAAGAACATTTCTTCCGGGCTCATTAAGCCCGCCTTCCATCTGTAGATCAGACCACTTTCGTCGCAAACCTGGATGCAGAGCGTCGCGTAAAGAAAATTGACATCCTCCGTTTGTAGCGTCAAGGTTTCAACGGATTCAAATGGGGTAAATGATAGAATAGCCATGTTTATGGGCACGGAGAGTCTAGGTAGACCTTTTTGGTTGGTGAACAACTACTTCTAGTTGGTTATATACTTCGTATCATACATATCTATGTACCAAACAACAAATATTAGAGAGTATCAAAGTCCCAATCACAGGCTCGACTTGCTAGAACACAACAGTATGAAATATATTAAGGATAGTATATGATTGTGTATGAGTATGTATGTATGTATGTATCTATCTATCTATCTACCTATGTATGTATGTATGTATGTATGTATGTATGTGTATATATATATACTTATGTATGTATATATATATATTATATATGTATATGCCCTTCCGGGGTCTACCTTTAATGTCTTTTCCATGGTAGTTACAGTGTTCTATGATCGTTTTTGGTTCTTGATTTTGAACTAGTATTTTCTAATGTATTGTGTGGCCTTTGATGAAATGGGGTTTTACCATATATATCCATATACACACGTACATTCTGTGTGACAATTTTGTCTTGGGACTTGATGTAGCTCTTGATTTGCGTACAATCAATAGGCAGTGTACAAAAAAGTGTACAACCTTAATGGGTGAATCCAAGATTCCAAGATTTGCACAGGACTCTGGAAGCATCTTGGGTTCTCAGCAAAGTAGCTCTACAACCACAAACCAAGAATCCCGCTTCCAAGAATTCCACCAAAGAGTCCTATGCAAATGCTGGGATCTTGGAATCTTGGGTAGACCTACACAATGCTGTCTAGCTTTGACCTATTGAAACAAAGCTTCTTGGGTACCTGGAAACTGACACGGAATGGGTGGGAATGGTGGGGTATTTCTAACATGTAACATTGTTTTGTAACAGAATTCTTCAGTACCTGTAAAGAAGGTCCTTGAATGGATGCAGTATGTTTTTCAAAGAGTATCGGACACATTGCATAAAATGGCGGGGCATTCTTTTAAAGATTGTATTGTTTCTCTCAAATAGATAGATGCAGTAGTGCTTTGAACAAGAGTTGCCTTCAGAGAAAGTCCTTGAATGGACGCAGCACTGTTTTGATGTGCGTTGTATTTTTCATTTTTTTCAAACATGCAGTAGCGCAGCATCACTCTTTGCCATATTCCGTTACGATGAGTGTGAGAAAATGCAACATTGTAATAAACTAGCATACTTTAATAGATGCAGTAGTACTTTGCAGGACTCTTTCAAGGGTACAGTATTCCTTGAAAAATGGCAACAAACGTGTGAGGTCCCTTTGAAGGAGCACAGAATTACTTCAATAAGAAAGCTCTCTAACATAGCTGTAGTGTAGCATTATTCTTTTGCAATGTTCCATGGAACAGAGTGGTACATTCCTTGAATATGGTGGGGCATTCCTTCAAGGAAATGCAACATTGCTTTGGCATAGAATACCCAATAGATGCAGTAGTACTTAGAGAAAGTTTTAGTTTCAAAAACAGAATGAATGGATGCAGCACTCTCTTGAAATAGTATTCTGAAAGAGGTCTATACAGGTGTAGCATATTGTAGCATCACTTTTTGCAATATTCCATTAAGAATAGTAACGCGCTTGTGGAAAATAAAGGGTGTAGTATTCCGTGGGAAAGGACAGAAACATAGTGGATCATTCCTCGGCAATGCGCAGCACTACTTTACCATAGGTTTGCTTAATCGATGCAATGTGTTTTTTTTAATCGTGTAGTGTAGTATTAGTAGCACGTAGTGCAAAATATATTTGCTCAACAGTGATGTACCATCACTGTTCTTCTAAGATAATATAGCACTGACAGAAGGGGCAATACCCTTCAAAGATACATTCAGAATTTGCAGTGTTCCTTTGGAAGAGGATGTCACCATTAAAAAACAAAAGTACTACTTGAGTTTTGAACTCAATAACTTTCTGACAAGAGTCCCTTCAGAAACATTTTGAAAACAAGACAAGAAAGAATGTTTCAGATAGCATCAATCAAACCGAAACGAAAATCAGATTCAAACCTTGCATGCCAAGGCCGTGCCGAATTTATACATGTATGAACTTCAGCTGCTAAGGTCGCTTTATAGAGTAACCAAAAAAATGTATAATAAGACATGTGCACGTTATTTTGTAGCGCCATTCCCTGCTGAAAAGGTACACAGAACTGCTGTAGTGCTACAGTCTACAACAAGTGTTAATATAAACAGTGAGAAAAGGGATGTCAACGACCTATTTGGTACCCAAACGGTAGATCTTCGGGGGGGCTAGCATATATATATAATATAATATACATGTAATGTAAAGTATATTTGAATATACCTAAATAGTATATATAAATATAAATATATACATACCTGATCATACCTGTAGACTGTTGTATTTTCTAGTGTGCAAACTTGGATTTAAATAAACAACGGGCGCGCGCTAGCGCAGCATGCGCAGCATTCGCAGCGCCTCCAAGCTATTCTCACATGTTCCATGCTGTAGGTTGAATATGGTACTCAGGGTGCAGAAAGGGTGCAAATAACTTGTGAATCATCAAATTTTTACATCTATCATATATATATAGGATATATGATAGTATACTCTACACTGTACACTGTACACTCGACACTCTACACTTTACACTCGGCACTTTACACTCTACACTTCACACTCCACACTCTACACTTTACACTTTAACTTTACACTCCACACTTTAACTTTACACTCCACACTTTACACTTTACACTCTACACTCCACACTTTACACTTTACATTCCACACCTTACACTCCACGCTTTACACTCCACACTTAGCACGCCACCTTCTTCCATATTCAACAGTTTACGGTGCGCTGGTATAGTAACAGGGGAAAAAATGTACAAGACTGTTCAAATCAACTGTTTCACAAAAGTGTTCTACGCGACTGCATATCCATGTGTTTCGACATCTGTACCATTAACGTACGTGTGAGCATTCGGGTTTGTGGGCTGCATCTTGGTTTTTTCCCAACAGCGTAAGCTTGGAGTCTTCAGCCATAGTAAAGGTCCCGGAGCAGGTCGGAGCAGCGAAATCCGCACCGCGCAAGGTTGGGAACCAGGTTCCCAGGAAGGTGCCCCCTTTTCCAAGAGACTCCCAAGCAAGGGTTCCCAGGTTTCCACGAACAGGTTCCCAAAACAGGTTCCCAGGAACAAGTTCAAGTTCAAGGTTCCCAAGAGGTTCGTTCCCCCAAGCAAGGTTCCCAGGAAGAGGTTCCCAAGCAAGCTTTCCAAGCAAGCTTTCCAAGCAAGGTTCCCAGGAACAGGTTCCCAAGTAAAGTTCACAGGCAAGGTTCCCAGGAAGAAGTTCCCAAGCAAGGATTGCTGCCAAGAAACCACACATGCCAACAACCAAGAAGCCAAAAGCAACAGCCAGAAAAGCCAAGCAGCTAAGAAGCAGAGAGAACAAAAGTCACTAAAGCCGCAAAAGTCGCAAAAGCCAGAAAAGCTAGAAAAGCCACAACAGCCAAGAAGCCACACTGGAAAACAACAAAATCAACCAACAAAATCATATCAATGGCCATTCCAAGATCCTAAATTGGAGGTACCTACATGTACCTACCATATATAAGGCCATTTTTCAGGCCTTAATTTCAGGGAATATCCCCACAATTCATATGGCCCAAAATATGGTACGTTTAGGTACCTCCAATTTAGGATCCTGAAATTCCCATATGTCATATATACTCAAATTGCAGCTGATGTATATCATCATTTCTCCTGTTTTGTTATCGCTTTGTTTTCCACATTTGATGACGACTACTACAATTACTATATCCAGCGGTGTTTTCACCAACCAATCATCCTAATCCCAAATGTGATTAACCTTTATTGGTTTGTAAATTTACTGCAAATACCAAATGCATAGTAAATCCCCAGTAAGCCTGCTGAGTTTGCCTATTAACAACCATGATAAACAATTAAAAACCAACTTACCTTTCCCTTTTGGCACCCAACTGGTCTCGGTTTACAACCAGAAACTCTTCAGAACAATGGCCACGTTCTGTGCTTCCTTTCTCGGCAGCAGTTCCAAACCCACTTCGTGCGCTGCAGTTCTAGGAGTCCTGGAAAAATCCCGGGATTTCTTCGACCCGGAAGGAATCCGGAACTGTCTATTTTGGGCCCAACCGCATCCCAAACATCTTGGTTCACCAAGAAGAAAAACCTCGAATTTTCTTCAGAGGCTCCAAAATGGTAAAATCAGACAAAATCTCTATTTCTGGCCTGGCCAACTTTTTCCGTAGTCCCCCAAACCATCAAAAAACCGTTCAAAATCAGTCCCATTCAATTATGTTGGTTTTAGTTGGCAAATAAGTAGTCTTTGGGTCTGTGACTATTTGCCGAACCATTTTTGTGATGTCCATGGTGGATGGATCAATCATTCTTGTGCTGGCCCCCATTCACGTTGTACTCTATGGCTCTTGGGTATAGAAGCGTTGCAAGAAAATCAAACTTGACGTCACGATTACCAAGTTGATCAAATTTCAAGAATCAAACTTTTTACAACATATGTGAAACCTATTCTCAGATCTTGCTTCGGTGTATAAGCTAGCACAGTTGACCTATGTTGACGCCATGGAACATGAGCAAGGTCTAAATTGGGTGAACGATGGTGAAAGCGTGGTCGGTGTGGTTGACGTGGTCGGGGCAAAGAATGGAATTGACATAAAATGCTGAATCTGTTTCAGATAGTCTCCAAAAAAATCAATTCGCTGGTGAATGACCTACCCTCTGGTTATTTAACATAGCCATGGAAAATCACCATTTTATAGCTAGGTAAACCATCTATTTCTTTTTATGGGCCATCTATACCATGGCAATGTTAGTCATAACCAGAGGGTAATTTTACCATTGAAATCACACAAGATTTCAAGTTCTATGAAGCTTTGTATCTAACCTGTCCGTTGACGATCAAATCTGAGAGTTTTTTTTCCAAGGGGTTACCGTGGCCCCCAGTGAATTTTCAGGAGACACTCAGGGGGTTACCTCAAAAAAGGAGTCAAACTAAGGGTCAGTCGTGAAAAAACGCGTGAAAAATCATGTGAAAAGTCATGAAAACAAATCAAACATAATACACCTTGCTTATCTTTCCTCCCAGGTTTACCATGGTTTGCGACACTAAACCCAGTGGCCACCAGCCAGATTTCCAAATGTCCAACTTGGATGCGAAACACACGAAAACAATGGGCAAAATCACCATTTGTTTCTTTTTTAATGGAGATCCCCAAGTCAAAATGAGTTCCAATACCAAAATGGCCTAAGTTGGATTATAACTGGTGGGTACCCCCGTGACAAAACGGAAACACCCATGTGATCCCATTGTGATCCCAGGTCATGACCACTTGAAAGAAAGATCAGTGGGATGCAGAACTTTTCCGCCAAATGGCTGCTTTGAAGATGATCTGGAGGCTCCAAAGGTTTGTCTTAGATCCTGCGAGTCACTTGACGACTACCCTCTGGTTATGACTAACATAGCAGTGGTATAGATGGCCCATTTATAGATGATTTTCCCATTAAAACCTCCATTTATAAGGGATTTTCCATGGCTATGTTAAATAACCAGACCAGATGGTATTTTTGATGCCCAGGTTTTTTGAAACCGTCGAATCCTAGAGTCAAATAGTGGTACAACAATTGGGTTCTTCGAGTGGTCATTCACCAAGGTCGATGTGCTCTCTGCCATGTTTTTTTTTTGGCGTTCTATCTACAAATTCTACTCAGTCAAACATTCTATCTTACATATATTCAACATATTCTCACATATATAGTTTGGCATTTTATCTGGTATTTGACAGAGTCAAGCACTGTGTCCGAGCGATCCCCACCAACCAACCAACCGACCAACCAACCATCTGGCACAAATTCCGACATATTTATCTGACATGTATCTAGCATTCAATCTGATTTACCCCCGGACATTAACGGGGAGGCCCGGCGAAGCCGGCGCTGGCGGAGCGTTGTCTTGCGTTGTGACGTCGCCGTGAGATCGTGATAAGTTCTCCAAATATGTTGCTTTTTGTTGTTTAGTGTTGGCTATATCCCCAATATTGATCAATATTGTTGGCAACGTTGGTGGTTTTTCGCCCTACCCCTCTGAAAAATGATGGAGTGAGTGAAAGTCAGTTGGGATGATGAAATTCCATTCCAAGGGCCGGTCGCGACATTGGGGATGACTGTCCCCAACTGGGGATCTCCAGCGAAAAGTTTGATCATCTCCAGCTAAAAGTGGACAAACTTTACCCTCTGGTTATGTCAAAATAGCTATTGAAAATGGCCATTGAAATAGTGAGTTGTCCCATGAAAAATGGTGATTTTCCATAGTTGCTTGTTAGTTTACCAGAGGGTAGTGGAAAATATGGACTGAGTCCTTTTTGTATTTTTGCATCTTGTTGCAAAGGCAAAAACCCACAGAAACACAAGCAAAGCAGCTTTGCGCTGGTGTGGTTTCACACCCAGAAAACAATTTAGACCATTAGGATCGATTAGTACCATCATCTTCCACTAGTTTGCATGATCTGCCCATCGTTGCTGGTTACGTTGTATCCCCTATATTACATGTCGGGCTAACTTATGCAGCATTTCTTGGCACCATTCACTATTCACAGACAAATCACCTTCGGTAATCGAACGTGGCTTTCTGGAGAATCCACTGTTTACTTCGATTATTTTTTTTACAGCTAGCCAGATTCAATCACAGGAGGGTATATAAAGTTTGCTGGCTCAATGCCCTTCCCATGGGATAATGTCGCATTTTTGTGAACAAAATGCCCCCCATCGCTGGTTAAACCAACAGGTTTCTTCGTTTCGCTTGCCCCTTGCCCAACCTGTTCTTACTCATTACATTTCAGTTTTTCTCGGAAAATCAAGCAAAATCTTGCACTTTTCTGGGTTACTTCTTTACAAACCTGCTATTAAATTGGTTAGCTAGTTTTTCTAGTCCACTTACATCATCTTAGAACTGGGGTTATATACTACTTGCAAAGTAGGACGAACCATCAAGTACTAATAAATGCATACCTGCTGTCACTGTGGCTTTGCCATGAAAATAGGGTACCCCATTTCCCCATCTTGATTGCAATACACTGGAGAGACAAGTTATTAACCCTGCTGGAATTTCACCTGGCTGGCACATCAACCATTCAGTTCCATGATAAATCCCATGAAATATGTGATTTCATCATATTTCATCCCCTACATCCACCATGGTTTCTGGGGGAGTGTTGAAAATATTAGGGGAAGAGATGTTGAAAATCAACCGTTCAGGTTCACAAAAACATGTCAAACATGTCATCTTTTGCTGGTTGGCTGGTTGTTTTCCATAGCAAAAAAACTATTCAGGATTAGTTTCTACCTATCCAGCTGGGGATGATTCTCCCACACTTTCCCACATGAAAAGTTCGCTTTCGAGCCAGCAGCTACAAGTCAGTAGAGTTGTTTTTTAAGCATCCCAAATACCGCCAAATAATGTATAATATTAAAATATTGGTTAGATTAGTGGTAACATACCAACTAATTAGGAATTAATTACCAATGTTTTCTTTCTTTAGCCCACAATTTCCCCAGAAAGTATACAGTTTTTCTGCCAGAATTTATCCCCATTCAGTGCAAACACCTCCCGTAAATTTCACATGGAACCTACCCTGGCGGGATCCCCATGGGTTGAATGCTGAATTCAGGTTGCGTGTACCCAAGGAGTGAGTAAGAAACGGCAGCTTCATAAACTTGACAATGAATAATGCCAACATACCTCCACAACGCTCTGGTTCCTCCAATGCCAACTACAACACCCACATTCGCGTCGATCTCCATGTTTGAACTGGCCCCTTGACCTCGAATAGTCACCTCATAGACAAGTTTCAACAAACCGTCATCCAGTATCAAGCCACGAAATGTGTCAAGATGTTGTCTGGCAGCATCTCCCAGATTTCTGTTTATCACAAAGGCAGGGAGGGTCAACCCTTTGGTAATCAGGCTCCACCAACACAACGAAACCTCTATGAGATGGCAGGCCTAATAACTCAGGCTTCCCGGGTTCCTTCTGTTTTTAAGGTGGAAAAATCAAACGCTGGAAAAATCACCCTTGAGTTCGATGATTTCCGATGACCTCAACGATGACCTCAATTTACAGTGAATTTTCCATTGCAACGTTGGATCAACGACGATTTTTTCCCCATTATCCCATGAAAAAAACACCCGGAAGAATCCAGGAAATCCCCAATTTTGATGGTTGATGGTGAAGTTGCATATTGGTTTATAAACATATCGCCCTTAAAAAGAAAGTTAACCAAGACATACCAAGACTACTACTGGTTGGTGGTATACCTACCCCTGTGAAAAATATTAGTCAATTGGGATTATTATTCCCAATATATGGAAAAATAAAATTCATGTTCCAAACCACCAACCAGACTATATTGTTATTCCAATTATTAACCATTATTAACCATAGATTAACCAGTAAAATTCCATGGTTCCAGTCACCACCAACCAGACTATATATCATCATATTCCCATTGTTGTTGGTTTCTAGCCAAAATTACTTTACTTCGTGTGATCCCCACCATGACATTTATACATGTTCTCACTGGCACATCTTCTGGCATTCTATCTGACATATCTTCTGACATTCTATTTGGCATTCTATCTGGCATATCTTCTGGCATATCTTCTGACATATCTTCTGACATATCTATTCTGGCATTCTATCTGGCATATCTTCTGGCATATCTTCTGGCATTCTATCTGGCATATCTTCTGGCATTCTATCTGACATATCTTCTGGCATTCTATCTGGCATTCTATCTGGCATATCTTCTGGCATATATTCTGACATATCTTCTGGCATTCTATCTGGCATATCTTCTGGCATATCTTCTGGAATATCTTCTGTCATATCTATCTGGCATTCTATCTGGCATTCTATCTGGCATATCTTCTGGAATATCTTCTGGCATATCTATCTGGCATATCTTCTGGCATATTTTCTGGCATTCTACCTGGCAAATCTTCTGGCACTCTATCTGACATTTTATCATCCTACATGAGGTCCGGCAGGGAACACTTGGCGTGGATACTCGCGGTTGAGGTCCGGCAGGGAACACTGGGCGTGGATGGTCGTGGTTGAGGTCCGGCAGAGAACACTGGGCGCGGATGGTCGTGGTTGAGGTCCGGCAGGGAACACTGGGCGCGGATGGTCGTGGTTGAGGTCCGGCAGGGAACACTGGGCGTGGATGGTCGTGGTTGAGGTCTGGCAGGGAACACTGGGCGTGGATGGTCGTGGTTGAGGTCCGGCAGAGAACACTGTGGATCGCGGGTCGCAGTTGAGCAAGGACGACGAGGACGACGAGGACGACGAGGAGGAGGAGGACGAGGAGGAGGAGGACGAGGAGGAGGAGGAGAGGAGGACGAGGCAGGAGGAGGCGGAGGAGGAGGAGAAGGAGGAGGAGGAGGAGGCAACTGACATAAAATCTAACAACCCTCACCTGGCAGGTGGGGAAAAACACTATTAACATCTATTAAGCATCACTATTGACCAGATAGTCAGGTCAACTTAGCAGAATTTGGGGGCCTCACCGCCCCAGGGCCCCAGCCTCCAGGTCGACCGCCAATTGGGCCCTTCCGACGTCGCTTCCATCGGAGCCTTCCGCGTCCGCGTCCGCGTGGTCCATCGCGACCGACGTCGCTTCACCGGGAAGCAGCAGGCGCACCTGCGACGGGTCGGTGAGAGCCCGGCCCTAGCTACTGTTGGGTTGATGAATGGGCGAACGAACCATGCGGTGAATCAGCAACGTTCACATCACTGTGGGGCTCACCTACAGAGTTCTAATTTCCGTGGATGTCGACCTGCAGGAGTCTGTGCCGGAGAAGATATTGGTGTCGAATGTCGAAACAGGTTTTTTCCGCGGTGTCTGTATCGGAGACCTGTTTTCAGTCAGTGCCGGCTGATTTGCAGATTGTTGCCCATCGGTTCGCACAACTCCACTCCTGACACTGGGCCGGTCAAATCCTCATCGACCCCTGTTCCCATGACTTCTTTCGGCACTAAGAGTCATGGCCAGCACTGAAATGTCCATTTCATCCAAGATGGGGAATTTTGAACCGATCATATAATTAAACCACGAGAAAAACATGAATATATAACAAAACTGTACTCTTAAGCAACAACTTGGATAAACTCAATACTGAAAAAACATAAGGCCAATATTGAGCTGTATTGTTGGGTAAACCCCGTATTTTGAATGATGCCAAATACCCAATGCCACAAACCATCCCATTTTTTTTACTATATAGGTGAAACGGACACAAGCATCAGAAACACATGTTTGGACAACTGTTACCCCTAGATGCCAAAGAACAGGCTAAATAAGGAAAAACATTAATACATAATACATTTTAATTTGCCAGGAATCGTAGATGATTAGTTACCCATATTGCAGCTGGGGTAAATCTCACTAATCTAATTAGATTACGACATTTCCGGGAACATTTCATATGGACCCTTACCCACTTTGGATGCACATCCAAGTAGTTATATAATGTTATATAGATATCATTTTCTTTCATAGACTATGGATGCATCCATATGTTAATATATGTCAACAATGATTTACTAAACCCTTCCAGCCTAATATTCAATATGAGTACCCCGTGGGCCAACGAAAAACAGCGAACTCGAGCCGTGGGATGCGCCACCAAGTGATATTCGATGTTCGCCACCATTGGTCAACGGTTGGTCCGACAAGGATTCCCAGTTCATGAATTGTCATCCATGATAAACCATGATAGTCCATGATAGTCCATGATAGTCCGTGACATTCCACGATAATCCTATATCATCAACCACACATCATCTATCAATTAGAATATCAATGGGATGAACCCCTCCTTTTGAATGATGGTATTTTTACTCTCATCCAACAACAAAAATCAACAATTGACCCGACTCTGGACCCGACTGTGAACTACCCCAAACAACGGATTTGTATAAATCTTTGGTTTCTAGTTCCTACCTAGACTCTCCAAGTACCCATAAAAAATGGTATGCTACCTCATAATTGTAGTACTTTGACCTATTCTTAGAGGTACTTGGAGGGTCGAACAGTATATTTTTAAAGGTATTCAGATTCTGCAGAGACCATGCCATCCCAAGGACTGGCTATATAGTCCAAGTTAAGACTCGACTCTCGCATGAGCTCAGAGTCCAAGTTAAGACCATGGCACATAGAAGAAGGTGCCCACCCCAGTTATAAATGGGTTATAACTTGTAATCCCATTAACTATAGATATATCATCATATATCACCTATAAACCATAGTGATTGGAGTTATAAACCAACTTAGCTTACTATGGGGCACCAACCTGTATGGATTTGTCTGATTCTGAAGGAATACTCCTCAGGTTTGAGCTATTGATCTAAGGTCTAAGGAGTCTAAGGTCTGTTGGAATTTATGGTGGCTTCGCCGTGTCTGTGGGGGAAGCTGCAAAACATGTCTCTTCGGCATGTTTCAAAGTGTGAAAATTGGAGGACGTCTCGCACGAAATGCTCGTTTTGGTGCTCCCACGTGGTTTGTCTCGAGTCGCTGGTTTTCCTGTAGCGTCGCCGTGTCTATGGGGGAAGCTGGAAAACCTCTCCTAATGGAATGTGTCCAAGCAGGTTGTCATGTCGTTTTGCGTGGCAGGCGTGGCACTTTGTGACATTCCAACCTGTATAACCTGTTTGATAATGTGTTGAATATGTATAAATTGGAGGAAGTCTCGTACAAAATGCTGGTTCTTCTGCATCCACGTGTCTTGTCTCGAGTCTCTGGTTTTCCTGTGGCGTCGCTGTGTCTACGGGGAAAGCTCCGCACTCCACACTCTACACTTTACACTCCACACTCCACAATTTACACTTTAGACTCCACACTATACACTTTACACTCCACACATTACACTTTGCACTTTAAACTCCTCACTCCTCACCTGAGACTTTACACTCCACACTCCACACTTTACACTACACTCTACACTTTCCACTCCTCACTCCTCACTCTACACTTTACACTCCACACTCTACACTTTACACTCCACACTTTACACTACACACTCCTTACTTTACACTCCACACTTCACACTCCACACTTTCCACTCCACACTCCAGCCTTTACACTCCACACTCCACACTTTACGCTCCTCACTCCACACTTTACACCCGTCACTTTACACTCTACACTCCGCACTCTAAACTTTACACTCTACACTTTACACTCTACACTCCACACTCCACACTCTACACTTTACACTCTACACTCCACACTTTACATTTTACACTCCACACTCCACTCTACACACCACACTCTACACTTCACACTCCACACTTTCCACTCCACACTCCACACTCCACACTTTACACTCCACACTTTACACTCCGCACTCCACACTTTACACTCCCCACTTTACACTCCACACTCCCCACTCTACACTTTCCACTCCACACTCCGCACTCCACACTCCACACTTTACTGTACACTCCACACTCCACACTTTATACTTTACACTCCTCGCTCCACACTCCACACTTTACACTCCTCACTTTACACTCCACACTCCACACTCTACACTTTCCACTCCAGACTCCACACTCCACACTCTACACTTTACGCTCCACACTCCACACTCCGCACTTCACACTTCACACTTTCCACTCCACACTCCACACTCCACAATTTACACTCCACACTCCACACTTTACACTCCTCACTCCACACTTTACACTCCACACTTTACACTCCACACTCAACACTTTACACTCCACACCTTACACTCTACACTCCACACTCTACACTTTCCACTTTAAATTCCTCACTCCACACTCTACACTCCACACTTTACACTCCACACTCTACACTTTACACTCCACACTCTACACTCCACACTTTACACTCCACACTCCACACTCTACACACCACACTCTACACTTTCCACTCCGCACTCCACACGCTACACTCTACACTCCACACTCTACACTTTACACTCCACACTCCACACTCTACACTCCACACTTTACACTCCACACTCTACACACCACACTCTACACTTTCCACTCCTCACTCCACACTTTACACTCCTCACTTTACACTCCACACTTCTCACTCCACACTTTACACTCCTCACTTTACACTCCACACTCCACACTTTGCACTTTACACTCCACACTCTACACTCTACACTCCACACTTCACACTCTACACTCCACACTCTACACTTTACACTCCATACTCCGCACTCTACACTTTACACTCCGCATTCTACACTTTACACACTTTACATTACACTCCCCACTCGACACTTTACACTCCACACTCTACACTTTCCACTCCACACTGCAGACTGGTAACAAGGGAAACATGCACAAGACTGTTCAAATAAACTATTGCAGAAAGGTATTGTGCGTGACTGCATAACCATGTGTTTTGACCTCTGTACCATTAACATACGTGTGAGCATTCGGGTTCGTGGGCTTCATCTTGTTTTTTGCTGCCCAACTTTGAACCATATGGCGGGTATATCATCCGATTTCTCTGATTGTACTTGGCTATATAAAAGTTATAAATGTCATGAAATACACCCATTAATAGTCCATTGCACATATATAAAGTTGGTTTACAACCCCCATTATATAATTGCATAGGATATATTCATCAACTTACCTTCTGGTAATCAAACATGGCTTGCTGGAACATCCACCATTTAGTTCCATGCTTTTCCCAGTAAAACATACTAAACACCCATCTATAGGGGATTTTCCAGCTAGCCACGTTTGATTGCCAGAGCGTACTGGATTTCCTTGGGCTTTCCTTGGGCTTTCCCTGCCAAACATCGTTGGTTTATAAATTCCATCAACGTTCTATCCACCATAAACCCGACATTTACCCTCTGGTAATTTAACAGTTCGCTATTGAAAATTGCCATTTATAGTGAGTTTTCCCATTAAAAATTGTGATTTTCGATAGTTATGTTAGTTTACCAGAGGGTAACCAAGTGTTCACTGTGCGTCAACGTGTCGCGATTGAGCAATTTCGTTATCATGGCCCCCCCACCTTGTAGATCCAGTATGCTAACGGAGGATCATCGGAAGTCACCCCAGTGGATCATTCCATTTGGAGGTTTCCGTTTTGTCATGGGGATTCACTGGCCATTTGAGGAACCTAAATAAGAGGTACCTACCATATATAAGGCCTATGTAAGACCATTTATAGATGGATTTTCCATGAAACAAACCATCCAGCGAACTTGGGATATATCCCATTTCAGGAAACCCCCATTTGTAAATGGGTAAAAAATCCCAGTGACTAAACCAGTTCCTACCACACCAGCTCTCTCCCGGTGTCGCACCGACAATCGCCGACCCAAGGGAAGGCTAGATGCCTGGCCGATGGTACCTACAGTTAGGGCCTGGCTAACAGTGATAACTGGCTTAAAACCGATTTATTGGAGGTACCTACCATATATAAGGCCTATGTAAGGGAATAATATCCCTACAAAAGATGGTCATTTTAGGATCCTGGAATTCCCATTGATGATATATAACCTTAGTTGCAGGAGTCTGAATCCCCTAATCATTCTTAAAGGCTATAACTATGGACCCTTCAAGTCGCCGTGAAAATTGGTCAACGCAGGGACGTAGGGGTACTTGGTGAGTCTCGGGATAATGGATAGAATTGAGATACCATAACCCAGATGCTCCATGTATGGAATATTTACCTACATTTGGGCAATTTTTGGGGTAAATGTAGGTACATATTCCATACATGGAGCATATGGGTAATGGCAGAATGGGATAATAAGATTCTGAGCATACCATAGATAAGACAATGGATGATAATTGATGAGAATGGTAAAATGGAGAATGGAATACAATAATGGGGATACTAATGAGATATAAACCAACTAGAATGGGATATAATATCATATAATGGGACAATAACGGAAGTTTACAGGAAGCCCCGACCCTAAGTTATGTGTAAGTTACTTTATAACCCATTTAACTAGCTCAGTATATCAAACATCCAACATTAGCTTAATGTTGGCTGCCTAATAGTAATTACCACCCCCCTAAATTTGATTGTTTTGAAAAATATTTTAGGGGGGGGTCAACCTTCCTATAATATTTTTTGGGAATCTATAGCTGGGATCATGGAAGTGGGGGCAGAGGTGGTGGAGGCGAAGGAGGAGGACGAGGAGGAGGAGAAGAAGGAGAAGGAGGAGAAGGAGAAGGAGAAGGAGAAGGAGGACAACAAAATTGGAGTTGCGGAAAAAAGTTTCCACTATTGCCATGCCGGGTGCAGGTTTGTTATTGCTATTCTGGGGCTTGCAAAGGGGGTACCCTTTGTGGACCTGTTTTCTTGCTTTTTTTAATAAGTGTTTAATAAGGAAGTCAGCTGTTTGGTAATTGGATCAGATTTCTGGAATCTAAGCTTTTGCTAACCAAAAAGTGAAGGCTGCTTTGAAAAGGATTTGCTTTACTTGACTCTTTTGGCAATACTAAAAGTAAATGGAGCTAATTGACTTTTAGTATTGGAGAAAAAATTGGAGTTGGAAAAAAAGTTTCTACTATTGCCATGTTGGGTCCACTATTGGCCATGCCCTCTGGACAAGGTCTGAACATAACTCTTTTGGCAATACTAAAAGTAAATAGAGCTAATTGACTTTTAGTACTGGAGATAAAACTGGAGTTGCGGAAAAATGTTTCTACTATTGACAAGATATCACTATTGGTCAGACAACATTAGTTCATTCAACCAACTTATCTATCTTTGGGGGCCCTTGCCTGGGTTTGTGATGGATCGCTGTGAAAAAACCAACTTATGGGGTCTGTGTCCAACGTAGTACCATGATAGCAATCCTGAGATGCGAAATTCGCATCTTCGAAAGGAACATCCTTTGCACATTCTATATGAATGAAGATTGTCCCTTTGGGAAAAATCGAGGGGCCAGTTTGGTATTTGGTTTACTATGTATTATCGGATAGTATCTATTGGTTGAATGGGGTTCAACCCTCTGTTAGTCAACCAACCAATGCGAAAAGGACATCTATCTGGGTAAATTATAATATTTCACTAACCTGAATTAAGGCCATTTGGGGATGATTTCCCTTACTAACCATAATTCCAGTGAGGTCGCAGTGAGGTCGTTATAATTTACCCAGATCTATGAATATTCTGTCTGAGAAAATTCGTCAACCACGGGTATATCTCCAGTAGTCAAACATAGCTAGCTGGAAAATCCACCGAGTTTGAAAATTTTCCCAGCGAACGACCTCCATTTATCATTTGTAGTAGGGATTTCCCAGCGACCCGCCACGTTAATGAAACCCTAGTTGGTGTCAAAGCATCTCAAACCCCATTAACATCCATTACCTGTATGGACAGTATATATATATATGTGCGCAATCATTAAGATCCATCAGCTATAGATATCATTGCCAATCTTAGACAGCTATAGATATCATTGCCAATCTTGCATACCCTGCAACAAAAAAAAATCGTAGCTGGTTAGTAGATATTCCAATATTTATAGCAACATATGATTCACTGGTTGGTGGTTTCAACCTACCCCTCTGAAACATATGAGTTTGTCAGTTGGGATGATGACATTCCCAATATATGGAAAAAAACATGTTCCAAATCACCAACCAGTTCAGGATTAAACTACCCAGCTGGTTGACCTAGCAATTGGTGAAATCTTTAGAGGCCCTTTTGACCCAGAAATCCACGTGGATTTTGAGCATAGACCTCCAAGTAGCTACTAAGTAGGTCTAACCATAGATCAAAATACACTTAAATTGCACAGGATGGGGCCCCTTCAGATAGCGTTCAATTGGTTTATAAGCGACTGAATTCTATGGTTTATGGTAGATATAACTATAGTTAATGGTGATTATAATGGTTTATAAACCAACTTATAGCTGGGGGGGCCCATCCTGCAGGGTAGAATTTCCATTTTGTTTATGAGTACTTGGAGAGCCTAGCTGGTTGGTGGTATACCTACCCCTCTGAAAAATGATGGAGTTCGTCAGTTGGGATGATTATTCCATTCCCAAAATTCCATGGTTCCAAAGCACCAACCAGTCCATCAATGGTGAAATAATGGTCACTATTCACACTATATATATATACTGTATATATATAATGTCACTATTTTGTACAGTCAGGGTGGTCATGATGGTCATGGTTTATTATCATGTATGTGTTCAACTTAGGGCTGCAGTTCTAGTGAACCTTAAGTGGATCATGTAAATGTCACCATAGTTTTAAGATGTGTTTTGTTTGGGTAAACCCAACTTCATGTCATCAGAGTGACAATCCCATGCTTCAATCCCGATTTCTTCAGCCCAGTACTGCACCTGCAAGTAGTCTAGTCTAGTGTCTCCATCAATCTGAATTACCATCTGCTAATTTCTTACAGTTTGCGAACTGGTTTGGATGGCTCATTTGGATGATTTACATTGATTTACCTATCTTTTACATCTTGAAATATTGTGCTTTTCACCTTTATACTTTATAAAACTTTATGATCCAGTATAAATTATCCTATATTCACCTCTTGAAAAACAAGGTGATCTATGGTGATTTAGGTGATCTTCCTACAAGGTGGTGCCAATGATAAAGTGACTATTAAAACCATAATAAATATAGATATATCTACCAAAAAAAGAATTTGGAGTTATTTACACCAACTTAGCTAACAAATTACAAAGCACCACCTTGTAACAAAGAAACCAAATGGTAAATGAACCTACCTACGGCCCGCTAGATGCGCCTTTGGCATGCCCTTCCCGCTCAGTGGCAGGGGAGTCTTTCCTGCGGCGAGCTGTTTTTTTTGTCCTATGATGGGAGGATTAATATTCTAGAAATAGTGATAATCATCAGGATGCACTACAACCATATATATATAATATCTTTCCTATATAGGATCACTCATGTTCTTAAAATAGTGGTTATTAGTGATCATTACATAGTGGGTATTAGTGATCATTAGTGGTTATGTTGCATTTTGAAATAGCGATCATTAGTGATTCATCAAATACATTATATCCTAATTTGTCACATCCCAACAAAACAGGGAATATGTCATCTCCAACAGATACTTTCCAAGTAAGATTCAATTTCCCTTTCTAGGGACATGTACCAACCCCTGAAAAAAAATCCGGTCAATTTGATGCTAGTGTTTGGGCTTTACAGTTATGACCCGAAATACCAGTTCTAAGTACTAACAAAACCCCATTTATAGAATGTATAACCATTTAAAGTACTTGTCAGTTAGAACCAGTTGTAAGTACATATACCAGCTATAATCCCCTAGAAATCACCAGATTATAACTAATAGCCATTGCCCTTTACCACGGCCTTGGAAATTTCAGGAAACCCGACCAGTCCTGGATTAATCCTGGAGCTATGAGAGAAACTTGGTTGAAAAATGAGGGATACCCCACGGGATAATGTTGATACCCTCTGGTAAACACACAAACAACTATGGAAAATCACCATTCTTAATGGGACAACTCACTATAAATCACCATTTTCAATAGCTATGTAACAAATTACGAGAGGGTAAAACCAGGAATTGTCACTATTATATAGTGTGACAGTGTGTTTTAAGGTTTCCCCCTGGTTTCAAAATTTTCTATAGTGCGAGGACAATTGTGATAACATCACTGGCCATGGCACGGATTTATTGGAGGTACCTACTATATGTAAGGCCTATTTTTGTGGCCTAAATTTCATGGAATATCCCATTGATAACATGTGAACACTCTCTGGTCTTTCAAACGTAAATCCCTGGTCTTTCTATGTTTTGTGGTGTGTCCAAACCTACGGGAATGAAACATGTTCCAACGTCTTTTTGCAATACTTAAGCGGGAGCACTCCATGTTTCTAAAACCATGGTATGGAATCGGGCAAGCCATTTTCAGGCAAATCGACATAGTGTTTGGTACAGTACATAGTCACCATTTATAGTACTTATCAGTTATAACCAGTTATAAGTACATATACCAGATATAATCCCCTAGAAATAACCAGATTATAACTTAGAATTAGATGGGCAAACACAATGAATCCCACTGCTTCAATCTAACTTGGGAGCTTCATTCAACAGCTTGTCTGCCAGTATACCCTCTGGTGAACCAACAAAAAGCTATTGAACATGACCCATTTATAGTGGATTTACCTATAAAAAATAGTGATTTTCCATAGTTTTTTGTATGTTTACCAGAGGGTAATTCACACATAAGGACAGATAAGATAACATGGGAGAACCACGTCATTAGACCATGTGCGATGAGATCACCACGTCTGAACTGACCATGGCGATCTTCATCTGTACCTGAGGACCCTCCTCGGTCATCAACACGATTAGAGAAGGGTCGTTTCTTGGCACGCTTCTACGCCCCAAATTCGACTTAGGTGAGGTCAGCGGAAATGGGTGCCATGGTGATGAAATCTGTCCGTTTTACAGGACGTGAAATCTGTCCCACCGTCCGACGGAAAAAAACATGGATGAAACCAACGGGTTTTTGACCATCCCAACGACATCGTCTTGCAACATTTTCATAGAACACATGACCCATGAAATGACCCCCCAAAAAAACGCCAAACAACACATCATAACAGTTATAACACATCCATATGGTCCATAATTGTGACACTCTTGGCCGGGATTCTTGAAATTTGGATGGCGCAGGCAGCGAAGATATTGATGGTTCTTAAGCCATCTCATCGTGAATAAACAATGATGGACATCTATAGATTCTCTGAAGATTCGAAGCTACAACGAAGCTACAACGACTGGTTGTCCGGTTGGTGGTTTTTCGCCTACCCCTCTGAATGATGGAGTTCCTCAGTTGGGATGATGACATTCCCAACTGAATGGAAAGTCATAATCCAGCCATGTTCCAAACCACCAACCAGGAGTAATTCTCCAAAAGGGAAAAAACAGCGAGGAAGTATGACCGGCGAAGATAGCAAGTCACATAATATTCCTGATGTCCAGCCACAAACCATCCATCTGCGAAAATTGAGCAAGGCAAAACCCAAGATGATGAATCACTGTTATTTTTTTGGGGGTATCCAAACAATCCAAAGCTGCAAAACCAGCACTTCTTCTTGATCAACTGGTAAACGTAAACTAGTCTAAGTTTCCCAGGTTCCCTGCTAAATTGTTTTAAAAACTCTAATGGTTATGCATAAAAGCTAAATGCTGGTGGGGTGGGGCCCACCCAAGGGAACGGCTGGGAACCGCCATGTTTAGACCATCGTACTTTTATTTTAGATTTCAGAGGATGTAAACATAGCATATTTGGGAGTGGAACAAACAACTGACAATCAACTTACAAGTCTTAGAACTTACTCATTATTTAGATCATTGTGCTTTTCATTATTTCCAATATCATTTTAAGCAAAACTCAAGAAATCTCAACAGAATGGCCATGAAACCACCACATTCATGGGATGTTCCATCAAGAAAACACTCGAAGCGGCGGTCCTTTGGGGCCCGGCGCTTTCCCCGGCCCTTTCGGTCCTTTACCTTAGCTCGCGTGGGTCGGTGTACAAGGTGCTGCCCTGTAAGTTGTTAGCCAGGTTGGGTTATACCCTCTCGCTAAAAAAAACATAGTTTGCTATTGGACATGTCCATAGAAATAGTTGGTTTACCCATTAAAAATGGTGATTGTCCATAGTTATGTTAGTTTACCAAAGGGTAACTCCAATTTTATTTGGCTTTATGGTGTATATATATATATATACACATATTATAGATGGGCTTCCTAGATTCTGTCGATCTTTGCGAAATCCTGCACCAGCTGATACCTGACTATTAGGAACTATGAAACGCTCTAGATAATTGGATCATAATCGGATTTTGCCCATCTATCCACTGGTGCAGGATTTCATTCTACAGTATGCTAGTTTATACCTGCGATAACTATGGTTTATGGCAATTACTGTACAACTATAGTAACTATAGTGTTCATGGCTATTTGAAAACACAAATAGCCAACAAACGCTGCTTAAACATTGGAGCCCACCTGGAAATTATACTGTATATATGTATATATAGTGTGGGATTCACCCAATGCAATAAACCATCCCCAATAGAGGTTTATGGCATCGGGTTTTTGCCCTGAATTACTTAGGGCGCAGAGGCTGACCCCAGTAATGGTTGGGCTATCACCATGTCCAGGGTGGGCCAAAACTTTCAAGGAACTGGCTAAAGATGCTAAAAAGACTGTATCTATTTAAATAAATATGTATATATATATATACACCATCTGGTAAATCAACACTTGGAGCCTGAAAATAACGAATTTTTAGTGGAAACTCATCTTCCAACCCTTATCTGGCAGGGTCTATGTTAATTTACTGGAGGGTATATATATATATATATGCAAGATAGAATCAAGATAGTAAGTTCGACATAGCCTCCACCTATGAGCAGCGGGCAATGAAGGTTGATAGGAACCCCCCACTAAAAAGACGATAGTTTTGGTTTCTGAATGATGGTCAATATTAGTGGTGGCTACGGCCAAACAGTCAGCTTGTATAACCCACAACTTTTGGCTTTATGGATAGAACTATAGAACTCTAGTATTCATGGGGTATATAGAACAATAAAGGCGGCTCACCTTGTAGTTCCTACTTGGATGTGCGGGCCCCACGAATCGGATCCGTGTTTTTCTTAAATCTATATATCTAACCCATGTGTATATACATATATATATTTATATATACACATGTCTATATATATACATACATACATACATATATATATATACATATACATATACATATACATACATACATACATACATACATACATACATATATTACATATATATATATACATGCATATATATATATTTACATATATATATATACACATATATATGTGTATATATATATATATATTTACATATATATACATATATATATATACACACATATATATGTGTATATATATATATATATTTACATATATAAACATATATATATATACACACATATATATATATACATGTATATATATATATACATATATAATCCCATATTAGTAATCGGGGATATTCCATTAATCTAAACTGGGGGTATAACGCATTTACTAAGTGGGATACACCCCCAATGACTGTGGAAGACATCATCATACTGGAAACTTCCGCCATCCGGCTTGTAAGGGTTCTACTTGCATGGTGATATATCTGACTGTCTCCGAAGCAAATATCCCCGTTTCAATGCTTATTAAGCGTTACTAATGATGAACCTCACATTCTATCCATATCCATAGCTATAGTTATTTCCATAAAGAAAAGTGTATATATATATACACAGATACACATCATATCGCTGGCTATATCTCGCATTGCATTCCCACTGTGGCCAATGATCAATTCCAGTGTTTGCTGATCAAATAGCCTGCTAATCATGGTTAAACATGCTTACACCATGTTAAACCATCATGTTCAAACAACACCAAAAATCATATTTGAGTATATTTGGTGTTTTCTGCTTTGTCTTTCTGTAACTAGTAATATTAATATCCTAAGCAAACGCCTACACAAACGCCTACGCAATTGCATGAGGTATACCTTGCCCAGGCCGTGAGTTCTTGTGCTTTCTATGGCATAACAATTTTTGGCTGAGAAAATGCATGTTAGCATCCCCCAAGTGACAACTAGGAAGCACTGACATTATATCTGGGGATATACCATGGATATTACATGTTACTACAAGGTGGTGCCCCTCTAGTTATAAATTGGTTTATAAACCCCACTAGCTATAGATATACACCAACAAAAACCATAGTGACAATGGAGATATTTGCACCAACTGAACGCTATCGAACGGGGGCACCACCTTGTATCTTGTTGTTGGGAAACTCTTGGTAGCTCCAACTGGCTCCCCATTTTTCATAGGAAATATGAACATCCATTGCTCAAAATCGCTCCCTAACCACGGCATTATCCAATTATATCCAGATTGTGGAGGTGGTTTACAACCTATGTGTATATATATATATTATAATATATTAAATATATAGCCTATTAAAAGAAAAATTACTACTACGGATACAACTTAACTACAGTGGCTTGATTTTTCCACTATCCGCACCACGCAAGGCCAATCCAAGCCGCCTTTGCCCTTGCCCTTGGGCGGTGGTCCCCCTTTTGGACCGCCTTTGGGTCCTTTCTTCGCCGCCGGTTCCGGTCTTGGCTCCAGGAGGTCAGGCGCCGCAGCCTTCACCGCCCAAAATGATGGCATGGTAGCTGCCCTATAGGTGGACATCGGTGAGAAAACATGATGAATGGAGTCAGGATGATGAAACAATGATGAAAATATGGTACAAGTGTCTTCAGGTACCCTATTTTCAGACAAATGTCTTCGGTTCTTCCAATGCCAGCTGTTTTTTGCCTCTGAATTTGACTTCAATATGCAAAATGATGCCGAAGAACATAATGTAAAACACGAAACAACTCGAGTTTTGATGAGCTGCTGCCGCACTTTTCACGGTTTAAACCATGAAAAACCATTGCATAATCATTCCACAAACGGTACCATTTCACAGGAATATAATGAGATATCACTAAGTCACCAAGACTACAATTTATGGCGCAGGTCTTGGCAAAAACCCATCCATGATTACACATGAACTAAAACATCAGAAGTATAGATTAATTGTCACAAAACATGGGACTTCAGTATCAACAATGGGGATTTCCACATTCAAAAATCATGGTTGTATGAGTTCGCTTCTTTTCTCGCCCATAAAAAACTGCTGGTTGACAGAGATTCTCATGGATTGTGATATTCCCTAATTTGAGTAGTACAATCCCATTTCATCATCAGCCAACAAGGTTTTTTGAATACTGCTCAAATTGAAGCTGCGCAACAGGAATTTAAGCAAATACTTCCAGAACTTTGCGAGATGCAGTCGGCATTTCTGGATCTGATAAAACACCTGGTTAATTTCGAAATGTTGTGACGTGCGGTTTGTTTGCAAATCACCATCAGGATGTCGAAACCACTTACTGTACATCGATTTACTCCGAAATCATAGGCTATAAATAACCTCGTGCCATGGTCCACCCAATTATCAGTTAATGGTTTAACACAAAAAAATGCCTACCTAGACTCTCCAAGTACCGATAAACAGTTGCATGTTACTTGATTGTTTTAGTAAATTTACCAATTTTATCCTATTTTGACAGGTACTTGGAGGGTCTAGGAATGCCCGGAACAATTCCCGTCTTTGTTGGTCAATTGGAAAGGAATTCAAAAGAAAACCCTCCTGTAATCAGGCGTGAAAATCCTCACTGGGATCTCCGGTCGCCACCTTTTATCACTGGAGGGTACCCCACCTACAATGTGGGACCCCGAATGGAATGTTTGTTGGTTTATGGTGGTTTCTGATACCCCCATGAACTAGTTCGATATATGAACCATTGACCCCTGTTATGGAGTTATGTTCACCAATGTACCGCTTTGGGGGGGAGTTTATCCCACTTCAAAGCAAAGAAGATCGAAGAAGCACACTCCTGTGCGCTTGCTATGGGCAATCGTGTATTTCTCTGACGTTGTGACGATACCGCAACCCGGGATCTTCAATTGGGCTGTTTCGTTGCCTCCAGCTTTGAAGCTGACATGTGGATCAGCCCCACGATATAAGGCTCCTATAAGCACCGTTTGTTGCCCTTTCTCACGGCCAGTGCCGGCAGGGGCCTTCCAAGCGCCGAAGACCCCCTGGATCTCCTGGTCCTGGACGTACACCGCCAGTCGAAGCTTCGATAGACAATCGAGAAGTCGATAGTAACGGCCCCACTTTCATCTCTCACATTAATCCTCAAAGCACGCTGAGGCTGCTCCACCACTGGCCCAACAGGCATAGTAGGAGGGAACCCTCCAACACTGGAAACCGGAGCAACAGGCGCTGGGGGATATCCCGGTTGCCCATGTTGCAGTGAGGTCGCAGTGATGTCCTTATAATTTACCCAGATAAATGAATATAAAAATGATGATAAATGAGGTCCCCCTGTTGAAAAATAAGGAATCTGTCCCATAAATGTAGATTATCATGGATTTTCACATCTTATTTTTTGGGTTACAATAGTGTTATATAGTAACCACCTTTTGGGGTTTCGTTTTCTATCTTTCGGGGAAGTTTCTATAATCCATGTATATAAACCCGTTCCAGTTGGGTGGATGTCCATCCAGCTGTACTGTATCTGGTTGATCAATGGTCATTTCAGGAACCTAAATTGGAGGTGCCGATTCCATGAATATTTTAGGCCTATATAATTCAGGCCTAAATTTCAGGGAATATCCCCACAATTCATATGGCCTTATATGGTACAGTACCTCCAATTTAGCATCCTGGAATTCCTATTGAGTTGATGAAAAATCTTTTCATCTGCTTCTGGTATACTCGGCGATGCCTTTTACGTGCAAGTCAAATCACAAAACACGACAGATGCGACAGCAGTTGCAGAACAAGAAAACCAATAGCCCAGGGGCTATTAATCAACGGTTTACAGTAAGCCAGGTAGACTATCATGGGATAACCATGTATATATATATGTATATATATATATATGTATATATATATATGTCATAAAACTATATATATATATGATTATATATATATCATATAAATTATATACATATATATGCTAGCCCCCCCTAAGATCTACTTTTGATGCTCTTCTGGAGACGTACATGGTCAAACTCAGTGCACACTTCAAAAAAGGGTGCAGCAAGTTCACCAGATATGGTCAAACTCACTGCACACTTCAGTTAAGTGTGCAGTGAGATCACCAGACATGATCAAACTCAATGCACACTTCAGTTAAGTGTGCAGTGAGTTTGATCACTTGAAATTTTGTGAGCAGATGTGGATCTACTGTTGATGCCATACATGGTCAAACTCACTGCACACTTCAGTTAAGTGTGCAGTGAGTTCACCAGACATGATCAAACTCACTGCACACTTCAGTTAAGTGTGCAGTGAGTTTGATCACTTGAAATTTTGTGAGCAGATGTGGATCTACTTTTGATGCAGTACATGGTCAAACTCACTGCACACTTCAGTTGAGTGTGCAGTGAGTTCACCAGACATGATCAAACTCACTGCACACTTCAGTTAAGTTTGCAGTGGCTTTGCTCACTTGGAATTTTGTGAGCAGATGTGGGCAAATGTTTTTGGAATACAGAAGTGCATGTGTATATGGAAACATCAGGCTCTGATGCAAGAAGCTTGTTTGAGAAGAGATGCATTTCAAGTGAAATGACCAATTGTACATGCTGCATGCAAAAGTTGGCAGCTGCTGGAAGGATCCAACAGGGCATGTGCACATGGAAGTTGATAGTTTTGATGCAAGCAAGCAAAGAGAAGACAGAAATCTGCTACAGGTAGAACTAGCTAGGATACACACAGAAGACACGCAACCTGTTTTACCCCATTGCCGTAGTTGCTCAAGTAAGGCCATCTAGGACTTTGCCATGAACCACTTGACCAATGAACCCGTTGCGGTCCAAAGGTCTTGGCCTAGCAGCCAGTACTCGTACTGAGCTGAGCGCAACTGAATGCGCAACCACAAACGGCTACCCACTTTGGCATGCTGGATGATATTCAACCGTTCGCCAACAACGATCCACTATCTGGGTGCCTAATTTCACTCTCAGAGTCTTCTTAGTCCCAGGGATCTTGTGCTTCTGGATCTTGACATAGGTCGGTGCCACCCACTTGAACTTCCCATTGACCTTGACCCGCTTTTTCTTGTGGACAACCCGATCATGGAGTACGCCGGAGATCTTGGAGGCGTAGCTCTTGGCAGAATCCGTGTGAAGGATGACTTGCCGATCCTTCAGCCACTTTGCTGCCAGTGGCTTCAACTCCACTTTGCGAACAGCTCCAGGCTCAGGTGCTCGCAGCTTTGATGCAAGAGGTTTGAGGCGATGAAGGACAAGCGTCTGCGGCTTTCCTCGTTGCACAATCCCCCACCATTGCTCCCAGTGGAGTTTGCCACGCACGATCTTCTTGTCAAAGGTGGCTTCGTCCGCTTCAACATCAGCCCATGTTTCACCTGTGCCAAACTGAATCTTCTTCTCCGTCTTCACGACCCACGCTTCCCGGAGCTGGCCCAACCTACTCATATCTTCAATGCTTTTGTGGTTGACATGTAGAAGACGATGAATTGCAGCGTGAGGAACGCGATTGAGTAGAAGTAGAAGAAGGGTTGCTTGGATAGCCAGTGGCGTAGACGAAGATCCCCAGTGATTGACAAAAAGAGGATGGTCGTGATGTGGGTTCACAAATTTCTGGCACTGCTTGGCGGAGCATCGATGTTTCCCTGCAGCATTGGAACCTTTGGTTGCAATCAACTTGCCAAGGGTCCCTTTGTGGCAATTAGGACATGTTGATCCTTCCCAAGAATGAAGAAGTCCATCCTCTCGAAGCATGGCCACCAAAGATGTTGGGGTAGCTGTCAAGATCTGCGTCAAAGATCGCTTCCATTTGCAGCGATCATGGCGAAGACGGGACGAAGTGTCCGAGGTTCGGACGTATGGCACTTTTTTCCACTCCTTTGTCTTCAAGGTAGCAGGACGCTTCAGAACGAAACGCAACTTGCCTTTCTTTGGGACTGGAAAGTTGTGGAACTTTGCGACCATGTTGTCGAAGAAGCAGCTGCAAGGCGTATGGCTTCACACCGAGATTACCACAGGATAGATGCCAATGAATTTCCCTTATAAACCCCAAAGCTGCAGCACAGAAAGATCTTGTCTCTATATCCAAGCGGCATAACATGACATGCAAGAGCAACAGTGACAGTATCACAGAGAAGGCAACGAAACTGCAAGGATGTCTTCCAATCATTGCAAAGAAGTCTGCAGGTGACAAGAAAACTCAATGCCATACAACAGCCAACATTGAAGCAAACAGAAGAAAGCACAGCTCAGTGAAACAAACGAACCAAAATCTTTAAATGTTGTAACATGCAAAGCATAACTCAGAGAATCCATGCAACTGGAAATATTCTGCCAGGAGAAAATCATATGATGCAAGACAGCAAGTGATCTAATCATGAATGCAAGGTCAATGCATTTTTGTCTGCCCCAAGTCTCACGCAATCTGTTTCGTATATAATATACATTGTTGCTAACAGCCGGTCAGCCTGCCGATTGCTCACTCATCTTCATGCATTTCGCGAGCTGCCTCTTCATCCGCACTGACCTCATCAGCATGCACGTCCCCGAGCTCCTCAGCCATCACTGCCTCCAAGGCGTGCTCAAGATCGCTAGCCTCCTCAGGATCCTCTGGGAGCTCCTGCTTCACCTTTTTGATCGAAGGCACTGGGTTGACACTGCTAGAAGAGCGAATGGGAGAATCACTGATATCAATCACTGTGCTGGAAGGGCGAAGATCTGCAAAAGTGCGTTTCCTTTGAAAATCATGTGCTGGAGATACATGAGAGAGAGATATGGCCAAGTTTTCTTCCACTCTTGCTGCTGAATACATGGTGTCCTGTGGCTCTGTGGGGCTGTCAATGGAAGGCTCGCCAAAGAGAGATCCACGTCTCACTATGGTCTCGCGTTTGGGCACCTCCTCAGTTTTGCCAGCCATGGCAGCAGCCATCCACTTCTCTTCAAATCGGACCTTCTCTTCGAAGTTGCTGGGCAGGTCAGCGCCTCCCTTGCAATAGAAATCATAAACCACTCGGGAATGCTCATGCAGAAGATCTGTTTTGTCATGCAAAGGAATACCCATGACAGGCCTCTTCTCTTCACCGGCTGGGCGCGCATAGAGGAAGGTGTTGGTATTGACAAACAAATGCGTTCGTTTGAGAACAGCCTTCAAGTTTGCTGTCATTTGCTTCCCGGGAGAACCACGCATTGTCGAGCATTGCCATGAAGTCTTTGTGTGACACGAAGCCATGTTGCCCTGCTCGCTTCTGAAGGATAGGCATGTCGTCTTTCGGCTCCCTCTGAGCGTCAAAATCATTGACACAATACATGCGCAACTGGCCCTTCACCCGCTTGGCTGCCCCCCACCTTTCCTTCGACATGGCTTCAATATTGCCCACATCTGTGAAAGCCTTGATCTTCTTGAAATTGTTGCTCACAAAAGGATCCATCATCAAAAATGTCTGGCCTGAAAATGGAGCCAGCTTGTCCTCTGAAAAAGTCATCCTCTGTAAGTCCCGAATGGGAGAATCACTGATATCAATCTTTTGAATGGGGCTTCCCAAAGAGTCTCCAAATATTGTTTTTTGTTGGTTTTCTCGAGGTTTTTTGTTTTTTTTGGTTTTCCCCATGGATTCTCTCCCAAAGAGTCGTCAAATATTGTTTTTTGTTTCCAACTTGGTTTGATAGTGTGCACAGCTACTACCCACAAGACATCTTAAAAACATAACTGACTCTTATACATATATGCACATATATATATATACATGTAGAGACAATATATCAAAATGCTCTGAGGTAGATCTCAGGGGGGGGTACCATATATATATATATATATATATATATATATAGTATCAGAACAACGCGTAGAATGCCACGGATGCACCCCCCAAGTAACCAAGGCCTTCCCCAGTAACCGACTATGCCTCTGCGGACCCTGCAGCGCAATTTGCTACAGCTTGGATCCACTCCTGTGGCGTGGGTTTGTCAGCGAGTTGGACAGGCTAACCATATATCAACATGGGATAGCTAACTATCTGGTTGTAGTTGTACAATTACTGGTATATATCATATACAACTATATACAACTATACATATATATACACATACAACTATAACTTAACCAAATATTGATATACAACTAGTGAGTTGTCAACATGGGATATTTATCATCCACACTGGATGGCAAGCAGTAAGAGAAAGGCTCTCGCTCTCTCTGACTCTCTGTCTCTCTCTCTCCCTCTCTCTGAAAAAAGGGGTAAACCAAAGAACCTTGTGTCAAGAACAGCTACTGGTCGGTTTCAACCGGATTGAACAAAGTAGTCACATTGGCTTGTTCTCCAAGTTTATGGGACAACTGGTAACGATATACAATCAAATCATTGTTTAAGCAAGCACTTTTATCAGTCTTGTGGCGGCTCAAGGTATGTTGTCCTTCCACTCAGTGGAACCAAACTTGGTCTTCAACCTGGACTATGACATTGTTCGTATATGGGGGGTTCCATAAATGGGGTACCCAAAATAGATTGTTTATAAGGGACAACCCGAAAATAACATGGATGATTTGGGGGTACCCCATGACTGAGGAAGCCCCCATATGATCATATGTTTGTGGTAATTCATTTGCTATCCTGGGTTTGGTATGATTCACTCTGAATCTCAAGCGCTGTCTGATTCGACGCTTGACTCCCTATCGTTTTCATGAGGATCATTTGGGTCCCGGATCATATCATGGAAGTTTCCTTTTCCATTACTGGTTGGTGGTTTCAATCCCTCTGAAAAATATTAGTCAGTTGGGATGATTGTCAATATTTGGAAAAATAATTACTTTACTTCGTGTGATCCCCACCATGACATTTATACATTTTGTTACTGGCAAATCTTCTGGCATTCTATCTGACATATTTTCTGGCATTCGATCTGGCATATCTTCTGGCATTCTACCTGGCATATCTTCTGGCAGATGTTCTGGCATATCTTCTGGCAGATGTTCTGGCATATCTTCTGGCAGATGTTCTGGCATATCTTCTGGCATATCTTCTGGCATATGTTCTGGCATATCTTCTGGCATTCCATCTGGCATTCTATCTGGCATATCTTCTGGCATATTATCTGGCAAATCTTCTGGCATTCCATCTGGCATTCTATCTAGCATATCTTCTGGCATATTATCTGGCAAATCTGCTGGCATTCTATCTGGCAAACATTCTGGCACTTTATCTGGCATATCTTCTGGCATTCTAGCTGACAGTCTATCTGGCATTCTATCTGGCATACCTTCTGGCATTCTATCTGGCATATCTTCTAACATTCTATCTGGCATATCTTCTGGCACTCTATTTGGCATATCTTTTGGCGTGGATACTCGCGGTTGAGGTCCGGTAGGGAACACTGGGCGTGGATGGTCGTGGTTGAGGTCCGGCAGGGAACACTGGGCGGGGATACTCGCGGTTGAGGTCCGGCAGGGAACACTGGGCGTGGATGGTCGTGGTTGAGGTCCGGCAGGGAACACTGGGCGGGGATGGTCGTGGTCGAGGTCCGGCAGGGAACACTGGGCGTGGATGGTCGTGGTTGAGGTCCGACAGAGAACACTGTGCGTCGAGGGTCGCGGTTGAGCAGGAGGAGGAGGAGAGGAGAGGAGGAGAGGAGAGGAGAGGAGAGGAGGAGAGGAGGAGAGGAGGAGGAGGACGAGGCAGGAGGAGGCAACTGACATAAAATCTAACAACCCTCACCTGGCAGGTGGGGAAAAAAATTCCAAACCAACAACCGGATTATATTACATATAAACCAACCAGCTATTAGGGATCCCCCATGACTTATAGGAAATCCCCAGAAATGCATCCATTTCAGGTAGAAATTAAGATGGTCCTGACATTTGCTGATTCGAGGTCCCCGAAACTAAACTGCGTTCGATTGACAGCTACCATCTGCAGGTTTCCTAAAACAATGGTACTGTCAGAACCATGGGTTTCAATACTAAAAAGGTTTGATTTTGGATGATTTGGGGTACCCATGTTTGTACCCATGTTTTAGGAGAAAGCTCCATTTTGTATATCTGAAAAGCTACGAAACTGAACCTGGCCAAAATCCCAGTTCTTAGATAATTTTAGATAGCATCATTGTGTTAGTTACGGTGCGCTTGGGCTCTGACCATCGCTTCGACTTAGGTTCATCCCCCAAAACTATTGTACAAACCAATCTGTTTCATAGGCCCAAGTTCAATCATAGATCATAGGCCAGTACAACTGGTTGGTGGTATACCTACCCGTCTGAAAAATCATGGAGTTCGTCAGTTGGGATGATGACATTCCATATATGAAATGGAAAATCATTTTAAAGCCATGTTCTAAACCACCAACCAGCCATATATCATCATATTCCCATTGTTGTTGGTTATAGCTTATAAACCACTATTAACCATCACTATTGCCCCAATGTCCCCATCGTTGTGGACATTTTCATAGACGCGCCGGTGACGCCCACCGGTGGTGACCTCCCTCAACTCGTTGGACTCCGCTGCAAAGCGCAAGGTCTTGTCACCTCGCAGATCTGAAAGCCATCAGACCCTCTGGGTGAGATCCGCCAGTGATGTCGTATAAATACTCTCTGTGTGTATACACATAGTTATATATATAATATAAAGTCAAAACCAATTTTATCAGGTTACAACGGGTATATATAATTACGGTATATACCGGTATACCGGATATAATGGCAGTCTACTGGGGTTATGACCAATATTTTTTGTGTTCAACGGCTTCAACGGAGGATTTCATCAGCCCAAATGGTCCTGGATTTGCTGAAACGGCGCCCACCGAACATGTTATAAACAGACTCCAAAAATAAATTTTCCAGTCATAGTATAAAAACATATTTCCATTGGCAAACTAAACTCACCATCAATGGTTAGACAATTTCCATTGTTATTACGAGGTAAACCCAGTTATACACCATCCATCCATCCCCAATATGGCAATAAATGGGTGGCATCGAGCATCCTGATGGCATTGGGTTTACAACACCGAGATTCATAATAAGATCTTCATAAACTGGACCCAATAATGGATTCATGGTGAATCTTAGATACCTGCCATGGCACATCTAATTTGTACCTGGTTAGTGCTCTACCACTGATAGCAAAACTTTGAGTACTATATAAAGTATCTAACCAGTCGGTTGACCCAGGATTTCCTGCATTTTCATCATGGATTTCATTGCCAAAGATGATTGCCAGCGCAGGATCTAGGAATCGAAGCCCTCTGGGCGCCCTCTGGGCCGCTGGCGCGCCATGACCATGAATCCATACTTCAATGGAGCCTCGCAGTCGAAGATAAGGGATACACTGATACACCACAGGGTGTGGATATAACTATAGTGTTGGCTTTAACCAATAACTATACGGATCATGGCTATGGATCAATACCTATGAAAATACCATTTTTAGTGGGATGAACATCCTTTTACCAGCTATTTTGATGTTCACCAGGGGTACAAGGTTTTGACACACTGCCATATGACTATGCTTGGGGTTGGGTTTATGAATGGGGCATATAATGAACTAGTCAAAGGAGACTCTAGACCTGCAAACAAAACTGGGGGGCACCATCCTGCACAAGGTTACCTTGGTATTCTAGGAAGTCCAATGTATTCCAGGAATAGCAACTGACTCTGGTAACATCTTGTGGTATACAATGGTTCGCTTTGTGTAGTCTTCATATTGTATCAAGCATAGAACTGTACAACTAACGCATTCTGTACCAAACGATGTTTTTCACTCCAATGGACCCACTGGCCGTTTTTTCGCACCGATGCCTGCTATGTTACAAATGGGGTTTCAACCCAGCAAATGGCCCTTGGACTTTGGATCTAATGAGCAAACATGGTCAATGGGAATTTCAGGATCCTAAAATGGAGGTACGTAATTGTACCATATTTTTGGCCATATGAATTGTGGGAATATTCCCTGAAATTTAGGCCTTAAAGAAATGCTAGGTACCTACGGTACCTCCAATAAATCGGCTAAAAACATAGGCCAAACATATATCTGGGTAAATTATAATATTTCACCATCCTGACTTAAGGCCATTTGGGGATGACTAACCATGATTTCCAGTGTGGTCGCAGTGAGGTCGTTATAATTTACCCAGATATATGGTAGGTATAAAACCAACCGTATACGGATAGGATGTCACGGTATGCCATCCCCCTTACGAATTGATGATTTATCTGTGACGGCGAAACAATTCTGGTTGGTTAATGATGATGGTTATTATATGGTTAATGATGGTTATATAAGTTATATAGTAATGATCTGGTTGGTGGTTTTTCAACCTACCCCTCTGAAGAATGATGGAGTGAAAGTCAGTTGGGATTATTATTCCATACTTGTCCTATATATATAAGGAAAAATAAAACATGTTCCAAACCACCAACCAGAATTAAATTACATGCTAGACATATGTAGACTGCAAAGTGTGCATTTTCTCTGAGCGTTTGTAAAACACGGTGCAGTTCGATGGTCAGTATCTACCTCAACAGAAATGTCAATTTTGGGACTTAGTCAGTTTCAATCAACCCAAGTATGCTTGGATTTGCTGCAGAGGCTCAATTGTGGAAACATATTCCCTGAAAATTCCCCCAGTCATGTTGGATGTACTCACTCGGCAAACGTAGCTATCGCAGCTGATCACAATTTCAAAGTCACACAACTACACTATAATATACGACAATTAAGAAAAACAATATATTTTTGGTACCCAAATAGGGTTTTTGTGTTAAAATAGGATACCCCAACATCCAGCGATTGAATTTCCATCATAAACATCACAGTTTCGGGGGATCTCACCCTGAGCCATTTGCTTGTCATCCCAAATGGGGATTCCGGTTATAACATGTTCAATCACATCCAAATCCAAAGCGTCTTGGTTTTTGCATATTAAAGGTACCATATGGATGTGGGTCAAAACCCTGTACCCCTGGTGAACCCCAAATAGCTGGTAAATGGATGTTCATCCCACTAAAAATGGTATTAATAGGTATTGATCCATACCCATATATCTATAATTATATATATATATACATAACTGCAGAGTAAAGCTCACTTGAGATTCCTTCTGGAGGCTGAAACCAAGGTGTTGCTTCAGAAGCGATTGCAGCGTCCAATGAAGCCGTCCTCTCGTCCACAAAATTGGACCGAGTTCTAGTCTCCATCAACTTGTCCACAATTGAAGGGTCAATACCCGTCTCTTCCAAAGCAGGTTTCAGATACCTGTAGGTAATGAAATCAATATATTGTCTGGAACCAAAAGGTGCATGAGGATCCAGCTCTCTGCGAGGTCTTGATCTTGTGACACGAGTTACAACTCTGTCATCACGAAAATGACCAAGCTCAACTAAAGGAGGAAGAGGCACGTTAGTACGTGCTTCAACAGCATTCCAGAATGTATATATAAATATACATATACCTAGACCCTCCAAGTACCTCTAAATATAGGTAAAAGTACAAAAATATTGGATACTTGCGGAGATTCTAACCATTCTTGAGGTATATCCCGGATATATCCCCCCCAAAATGATCGAACAAGAAAATGTACCATATATTATATGTATATATAGCGCCGGACAACTACTTAGAACATCGTTTTGGAATTTTTCGGTGGGTACGCGCCCTCTACTTAGAACATTTTCGGCGAATAGGGGACGTATGTTCTAAGTGACTTAGAACATATGAGGATCCTCTACTTAGAACACGCCATCATATATACATGTAAATATATGTATATGTATACATACATACAACTTAACACTGCATATTTATATTATATATACAGGAGGTGTGATGTTGCGTCAATTGGGGCGGAGTCTTGGTGACCAAGAAGCACAACGCTGTAAAGGAGGTCATCCTCCATGGGGACTCTGGTGGGTGTTTGATTAATTGGGATGGGATTCATATTATACAGGTTTGGAAAGTCTTTATTATATGAATATATAGTGCCGGACAACTACAATATTCAAAATATATTATATATACACAGGACTTTCCAAAATGCACGTAGATAGCTGGTGCGATTCTTACTTAGAACATGGAGGAACCCCCAAAACCTCTGTGTATATATATACATAGCGATGTACATACGATTCGAACATCAGGTTTGGAAAGTTTTTATTATATGAATATATAGTGCCGGACAACTACAATATTCAAAATATACTATATGTACACAGGATTTTCCAAAATGCACGTAGATAGCTGGTGGGATATATATATAGCGATGTACATACGATTCGAACATCAGGTTTAGAAAATTTTTATTATATGAATATATAGCGTCGGATAACTACAATATTCAAAATATATTATATATACACAGGATTTTCCAAAATGCACGTAGATAGCTGGTGGGATTCTTACTTAGAACATGGAGGAACCCCCAAAACCTCTGTGTATATATATATATAGCGATGTACATACGATTCGAACATCAGGTTTGGAAAGTTTTTATTATATGAATATATAGTGCCGGACAACTACAATATTCCAAATATATTATATATACACAGGATTTTACAAAATGCACGTAGATAGCTGGTGGGATTCTTACTTAGAACATGGAGGAACCCCCAAAACCTCTGTGTATATATATATAGCGATGTACATACGATTCGAACATCAGGTTTGGAAAGTTTTTATTATATGAATATATAGTGCCGGACAACTACAATATTCAAATTATATTATATATACACAGGATTTTCCAAAATGCACGTAGATAGCTGGTGGGATTCTTACTTAGAACATGGAGGAACCCCCAAAACCTCTGTGTATATATATATATAGCGATGTACATACGATTCGAACATCAGGTTTGGAAAGTTTTTATTATATGAATATATAGTACCGGACAACTACAATATTCAAAATAGATTATATATACACAGGATTTTCCAAAATGCACGTAGATAGCTGGTGGGATTCTTACTTAGAACATAGAGGAACCCCCAAAACCTCTGTGTATATATATATATATAGCGATGTACATACGATTCGAACATCAGGTTTGGAAAGTTTTTATTATATGAATATATAGTGCCGGACAACTACAATATTCAAAATATATTATATACACAGGATTTTCCAAAATGCACGTAGATAGCTGGTGGGATTCTTACTTAGAACACGGAGGAACCCCCAAAACCTCTATATAGCGATGTACAGACGATTCGAACATCAGGTTTGGAAAGTTTTTATTATATGAATATATAGTGCCGGACAACTACAATATTCAAAATATATTTTATATACACAGGATTTTCCAAAATGCACGTAGATAGCTGGTGGGATTCTTACTTAGAACACGGAGGAACCCCCAAAACCTCTATATAGCGATGTACATACGATTCGAACATCAGGGTTGGAAAGTTTTTATTATATGAATATATAGTGCCGGACAACTACAATATTCAAAATATATTATATATACACAGGATTTTCCAAAATGCACGTAGATAGCTGGTGGGATTCTTACTTAGAACATGGAGGACCCCCCAAAACCTCTGTGTATATATATATATAGCGATGTACATACGATTCGAACATCAGGTTTGGAAAGTTTTTATTATATAAATATATAGTGCCGGACAACTACAATATTCAAAATATATTATATATACACAGGATTTTCCAAAATGCACGTAGATAGCTGGTGGGATTCTTACTTAGAACACGGAGGAACCCCCAAAACCTCTATATATCGATGTACATACGATTCGAACATCCCGGACAACTACAATATTCAAAATATATTATATATACACAGGATTTTCCAAAATGCACGTAGATAGCTGGTGGGGATTCTTACTTAGAACATGGAGGAACCCCCAAAACCTCTGTGTATATATATATAGCGATGTACATACGATTCGAACATCAGGTTTGGAAAGTTTTTATTATATGAATATATAGTGCCGGACAACTACAATATTCAAAATATATTATATATACACAGGATTTTCCAAAATGCACGTAGATAGCTGGTGGGATTCTTACTTAGAACATGGAGGAACCCCCAAAACCTCTGTGTATATATATATAGCGATGTACATACGATTCGAACATCAGGTTTGGAAAGTTTTTATTATATGAATATATAGTGCCGGACAACTACAATATTCAAAATATATTATATATACACAGGATTTTCCAAAATGCACGTAGATAGCTGGTGGGATTCTTACTTAGAACATGGAGGAACCCCCAAAACCTCTGTGTATATATATATAGCGATGTACAT